GAAGCAAAAATTCGAACCCATAAACCCTAGACAGAAATTGGGGAAAAGCTGAAAAATCCGAAAATGGAAAGAAAACAACTAGAAGAGGAAGGAATCTGCAACTATGAAGAAAATCAAACACGATGAACACCAAGAGAAAGGAAAATCAAGATCCAAAGTGAAATGCTCCCCTCCGAGAGAATAGAATCGCTCCCCTCCGAGAGAATTTGTATAGTAGAACCCCTAAAATACTTGTCACGAAAATCTAATGTGTTGTGTTCAATGAATCACTAGTCACACACTCTTTCAAGAAATATATGATAAAAATTATTGGTAAAATAAAAAATTTATTTACAAATTTTGATAGATTAATTGATGAAAAAAAAAACCGTGCAGAAAGTAATTTGTAAATCATAATTTAGGAGTGAAATTTGGGAGAAATTATAAGAGGGTAAAATTGTTACTTGTCCAAACTAAAAGAAAATGTTTACTAAGAGGAAGTACCAGGAGCGCGGTTTCCATCTGAAATAGGTATGGCCAGTATTGTGACCTTGGCAACCTTACTAAACTAATTCAATAAAAAAATAAAATGTACACTTAACTAGTGTACATAAAGTTATTTATGTTTAATACCAAGCCTAATTCCAGAGCAAAAATAAATATACAAAAAAATTACGAAGCATAGATTTTCGTCATGTCATCATCCGAAGCGTGTGAGTCTGTCAATTAAGCTTAACACATTTTAAATTAATATATAGGGATAACCGGCTAAAATGAACTAAACAACTTAAGATTTGCTAAAATGGACAATATGAGGATGCAAGTTTTAATTTTTATGTTTTTTATGTTGTTTGCCTCGACACAAGCGAAATCTTTTCTCCCGACTAGGGTAGCAAACGAGTCGAGCAGCTCACGAGCGCTCGAGTCAAAGCTCGACTCGAGCTCGAGTTTGACCGAACTCGAGTCGAGCTCGAGCGGCTCTAGCTCGAGACCATATTTTGCCTTGTGGAGCGGCTCGTCGAGCGGCTCGAGATATACGTTAATTACTAAAATACCCCATATTATATATATATTAGTATAGGTGTTTAATGGTAATTTTACCTAATTTTTGAGCCGAGCTCGAGCATTTTGATTTCGAATTGAGCTCGAGATGAGCTCGAGCTATTGTAATTTTTTATTGAGTCGAGCTCGAGTCTAAAAAATCGAGCTCGACGAGCTCGAGCAGCTAAAAAACAACTCAATCCTGCTCGATAAGGCCAATGCTAGACTTGGCTCGACTCGTTTGCAGCCCTAGTCCCGACACAAGAAATATATTTCCAAAAATGGCACGCATATTGTCTAGTGCTTACGAGGAATGGAATGTACCAATTTTGTGTGATATTAAGTGTATGAAATTGTGTTTGGGCAAATCCAAGCATGATATATCCTCGTTTGGCCCGACTTCAGCTTTAACTACGGTCCGACCAATTGCTTAAGTCAATGCGTAACACCCCGGACAAAAATTATATTAATAGCTCGACTTATTTATCGGTATTAGTATTATTTTAATTATGCGGAGAATTATTAATAATTAATTGCATAATTTATTTATTACTAAGCCCAAGTAGTATTTTTATAAATCGAGCCTAGTAGTAATTATTTATCCGAGCCCAAGTTGTTAAAATGGAGCCCAACTGTTTAGGCCCGATTTTTAAGCCCAATTCCTACAAAAACCCTAAGCTCCCTACTCCTATAAATAGACTTTGCCCCTTGTCTCCCAACATGGAGACAACACCTAAACCTAGCCACCTTCATCATCCTCCCCACTTCATCTTCTTCATCCTCAAGATAAGATCCAAGATCCAAACACATAAGCTTCCTTCCCAAGATCCTCCATGGCTTGAAGATCCGGCCACCGTGACCATTTTCCGGCCACCCTCATTTTCCGACCAAGACCCAAAAACCCGCAGCTCACGCGTCCTCCTCGCAGCGCCCAGTTTCCGGCAACCGT